TAGAAACAAAAACAACTGAGGAGCTTACATAGCATAAATTTTTTTTTATTTTTTTTAAAGATTTTATTTATTTATTTGAGAGAGAAGGAGCAGTGGAGGGAGGGAGGGAGAGAGAGAGAGAGAGAGAGAGAAGCAGACTCCCCGCTGAGCAAGAAGCCCAATGGAAATCATGACCTGAGCCGAAGGCAGATGCTCAACCAACTGAGCCACCCAGGCACCCCAGCATAAAAATTTTTATGTGAGAAATATCATCTTAAAAGAGTACATGGCAGTATGATAAGGAAAGACAAACTATAGGAAAGCAATATTGCCAAGTAAGCATCTCAAGCTAGATCAAAATGCTGCAGGAAAAATGTAGAGCCTACCCTGAAAAGAATAGAAAGGAAACCCTACAGGAGGCTTTTTTAAAAATAGGTCACTGCCAGAAAGGTAAGCAAGAGCCCTGGAGCCCATGGGCTACCAGTCTCGGTGGTAAATTAACAACAGGAGGAAGTAGCAAAGAGAGTAAATCAGCTGCCAGAACTAGACTCACTTCAAAGCGCGGGGGGGGGGGGTGAAATAGGTGATGGGGATTAAGGAGTGCACTTGTGGTGAGCACTGGGTGTGGCATGGAAGTGTTGAACCACTATATTGTATACCTGAAACTAATATTATACTGTGTTAACTAACTGCAATTTAAATAAAAACTTTTAAAAAGGATAAATTTAAAGTAAATGCTCCTTACCTGCTACACCTGCTGATCACCAAAAGTCTAAGCTAAAAACAAAGGTAACTGTAGTAAATCTAGTTTTATCTGGGTCCCTATACATAAGAATGGAGGAAGGGAATGAAGACTGGGGGACACTTCCTCTCTCTTTCTTAGTCATACACAAATTTCAAACGTGTAGAAAAACTAAGAAGTGGAGCATAACCATCCCCTAAAATATAACCAGTAAAGCAGGGAACATGACTTCTCCAACAGGTCTCAAAATCTAAGACATCTAGGTGTTGTGAAATCTTCCCTAAGATAGCACAACAACCAACAAATAATAGCAAAAACTCTCTCCATTCTGAAAAATCAGGATTACCCTATTTTTCTACCATTCATTCCTCCTTTCTACAGAAGCCAACTATTTCCTCCAAATGCTCAATGCAAATGAAAAGAATAAAGCTGAAGAAATTTTACTTAAAAGGTAGGGAGAATAACACTTCCCTATCTTTCACAACATCTGCCACACTTATTTTTAACAGGCTGTTGTAAAGATAAAATAATGTATGTATCAAAGTCCCTTGTAAAGATATTTTTTAAATCAAGCTCAAAAGACCTAAACATCTCCATGTTTCGAGAATTCAATAAAGATTTTATTAAACTTTCACATTTGCTTATTTTCTGCCCTCTATAAAATTACTGAGAAATACTTAAAAATTAAAGATAGAAATACTAGAGAGAACAGAAATGAATACAAACACCCAGCAGGAAAAGAGAAATAATAAAGATCAGAGCAGAAATCAATGAAATAGAAACCAAAAGAACAGTAGAACAGATTAATGAAACTAGGAACTGGCTCTTTGAAAGAATTAGTAAGACTGATAAACCCCTGGCCAGACTTATCAAAAAGAAAATAGAAAGGACCCAAATAAATAAAATCATAAATGAAAGAGGAGAGATCACAACCAACACAGAAGAAATACAAATAATTATAAGAACATATAATGAGCAACCATATGCCAACAAATTAGACAATCTGGAAGAAATAGATGGATTCCTAGAGACGTATAAACTACCAAAACTGAACCAGGAAGAAACAGACAACCTGAACAGACCCATAAACAGCAAGGAAATTGAAGCAGTAATCAAAAATCTCCCAACAAACAAGAGCCCTGGGCCAGATGGCTTCCCAGGGAAATTCTACCAAACATTTAAAGAAAAATTAGTACCTATTCTTCTGAAACTGTTCCAAAAAACAGAAACGGAAGGAAAACTTCCAAACTCATTTTATGAGACCAGCATTACCTTATCCCAAAACTAGACAAAGACCCCACCAAAAAGGAGAATTACAGACCAATATCCCTGATGAACATGGATGCAAAAATTCTCAACAAGATCCTAGCCAAAAGGGGGCGCCTGGGTGGCTCAGTTGCAGGGCGTCTGCCTTTGGCTCAGGTCATGGTCCCAGGGTCCTGGGATCAAGCCCCGTGTCGGGCTCCCTGCTTGGTGAGACTGCTTCTCCCTCTCCCTCTGCCTGCTGCCCCCCCTGCTTGTGCTCGCTCACTCTCTGTGTCAAATAAATAAATAAAATCTTTAAAAGAAAAAAAGATCCTAGTCAATAGGATCCAACAGTACATTAAAAGGATTATTCACCACGACCAAGTGGGATTTATTCCTGGGCTGCAAGGTTGGTTCAACATCCACAAATCAATGTGATGCACTACATTAATAAAAGAAAGGACAAGAACCATATGATGCTCTCAGTAGATGCAGAAAAAGCATTTGACAAAGTACAGCATCCTCTCTTGATTAAAACTCTTCACAGTGTAGGGACAGAGAGTACATACCTCAATATCACAAAAGCCATCTACGAAAAACCCACAGCTAATATCATTCTCAATGGGGAAAAACTGAGAGCTTTTTCCCTAAGGTCAGGAACACGGCAGGGATGTCCACTATCAACACTACTGTTCAACACAGTACTAGAAGTCCTAGTTTCAGCAATCAGACAACAAAAAGAAATAAAAGGCATCTGAATCAGCAAAGAAGTCAAACTCTCACTCTTCTCAGATGATATGATACTTGACGTGGAAAATCCAAAAGACTCCACCCCAAAACTGCTAGAACTCATACAGGAATTCAGTAAAGTGGCAGGATATAAAATCAATGCACAGAAGTCAGTGGCATTCCTATACACCAACAACAAGACAGAAGAAAGAGAAATTAAGGAGTTGATCCCATTTACAATTGCACCCAAAACCATAAGATACCTAGGAATAAACCTAACCAAAGAGGCAAAGATCTGTACTCAGAAAACTATAGAATACTCATGAAAGAAATTGAGGAAGACATAAAGAAATGGAAAAACGTTCCATGCTCATGGATTGGAAGAACAAATATTGTGAAAATGTCTATGCTACCTAGAGCAATCTATACATTTAATGCAACTGCTATCAAAATACCATCAACTTTTTTCAAAGAAATGGAACAAATAATCCTAAAATTTGTATGGAACCAGAAAAGACCCCGAATACCCAGAGGAATGTTGAAAAAGAAAACCAAAGCTGGTGGCATCACAATGCCAGACTTCAAGCACTATTACAAAGCTGTAATCATCAAGACAGTATGGTACTGGCACAAAAAGAGACACATAGATCAATGGAAAAGAATAGAGAACTCAGAAATGGACCCTCAACTCTATGGTCAACTAATCTTCGACAAAGCAGGAAAGAAGTCTAATGGAAAAAGACAATCTTCTTCAACAAATGGTGTTGGAAAAATTGGACAGCCACATGCAGAAAAATGAAAGTGGACCATTTCCTTATACCACACACAAAAATAGACTCAAAATGGATGAAAAACCTAAATGTGAGACGAAATCCATCAAAATCCTAAAGGAGAACACAGGCAGCAACCTCTTTGACCTCAGCCGCAGCAACTTCTTCCTAGAAACATCACCAAAGGCAAGGGAAGCAAGGGCAAAAATGAACTACTGGGACTTCATCAGGATAAAAAGCTTTTGCATAGCAAAGGAAACAGTCAACAAAACTGAAAGACAACCAAGAGAATGGGAGAAGATATTTGCAAACGACTTATCAGATAAAGGGTTAGTATCCAAAATCTATAAAGAACTTATCAAACTCAACACCCAAAGAACAAATAATCCAATCAAGAAATGGGCAGAAGACATGAACAGACATTTCTGCAAAGAAGACATTCAAATGGCCAACCAACACATGAAAAAGTGCTCAACATCATTTGGCATCAGGGAAATACAAATCAAAACCACAATGAGATACCACCTCACACCAGCCAGAATGGCTAAAATTAACAAGTCAGGAAACTACAGATGTTGGCGAGGATGCGGAGAAAGGGGAACCCTCCTACGCTGTTGGTGGGAATGCAAACTGGTGCAGTCATTCTGGAAAACAGTATGGAGGTTCCTCAAAAAGTTGAAAATAGAGCTACCCTATGACCCAGAAATTGCACTACTGGGTATTTACCCCAAAGATACAAATGTAGTGATCTGAAGGGGCATGTGCACCCCAATGTTTATAGCAGCAATGTCCACAATAGCCAAACTATGGAAAGAGCCTAGATGTCCATCAGCAGATGAATGGATAAAGAAGATGTGGTGTGTGTGTGTGTGTGTGTGTATACATATACAATGGAATCTTATGCAGCCATCCAAAAAAAAAAAGAAATCTTGCCATTTGCAACAATGTGGATGGAACTAGAGGGTATTATGCTAAGCGAAATAAATCAGAGAAAGACAATTATCATATGATCTTGCTGATATGTGGAATTTGAGAAACAAGGCAGAGGATCATGGGGGAAGAGAGGGAAAAATGAAACAAGACGAAACCAGAGAGGGAGACAAACCATAAGAGACTCTTAATCTCAGGACACAAACTGAGGGCTGCTGGAGTGGAGGGGGGTGGAAGGGATGGGGTGGCTGGGTGATGGACATTGGGGAGGGTATGTGTTGTGGTGAGCGCTGTGTATTATGTAAGACTGATGAATCACAGACCTGTACCCCTGAAACAAATAATACGATGAAAATAATAACAATAAAAAGAAAAAAGAAATGAATACAAACACATAGGTAGCAATGACAAAAAGATTTCTCATAAATATCATCCCAAATTTTACTAGTACTGATAAAATCTTAAAAGTACTATCTAGACACTGCTCTCATTTCTTAATTGAAAAAAAGAAACCTACATGGGGGAATGCATCCATTCTGTCTTTATGGATATTCTCCAACAGTTTTAAAAAAACTTAGTAACACATATTATTAGACATGTCTTACCTATTAAAGATTTTATATTTTCTAAGATTAAGTCACTAGTAATATTTCCAGATAAATCTTGCCCCAATTCAGCAATCAGCTTGGCATAACCTTCATTCTCTTCTCTTAACAAATTGAATTTTTGCTGCTTATAACTGAAATTAGATAAACATCATAAAGGGGATAAAATTAATTCAATTAACAAGCTTGCATAAAAGTACCGTATTCTCATTGAATTTTCATTATTTCTCTTATATAGAACAATTATAAGAATAGTTGTTGAAAGTTTACTTCTTTGTATATCTTTTAAAATAGAAAATAACAGTGATTCATGAGACACCCCAATGTTAATTACACAGGGAAAACCAGTAACACAAAAAAGGAATATTGCTAATCCCAAGGAACAACAGCATGCCACTATTTCCATCGTTGACTAACAATATACCCTAGAGTATAGCCATACTTGTAAATTATTTTATTGGTAATAATAAAAGCACTGAATATTACTTTAACTTCTAATATGGAAAAAAATTAACACTGGTTTCACACAGGTAAAGTTCACGGCTGACTCAATAATCCTATGCTTCTTTTAAAAGGATAAAACACAAGACATGCTAACAGCAACAACAACAACAAAAATCTTCAAACTGCTGTTAGAAACATCTAGTATTCAAAATGAGAACTAAAGAAAACATACTCAGATACTTGATCTGCAACATAAAGATAAATGTACTTACAAGAGTTTTGTCTTGATTTTAACTGACTTTTGATTGAACTGCTGTGATTGTTTGATAAGCCCTAATGATTCCAATGTTTCTGGATCCAGGCGTTCCTTTAGAACTGTGTCTGAAACTAAATACTGTATTAAAAAATATTAAAGGCCATTTATTCCTTAGCATTCTAATATATCCACAATTTAAATACACTCAAAATAATTTTTCCCAAATAAGAATATTAAAATCACATTAAATATGTATCAATAAATTTCAATTTATTAAAAAAAAGCTTGGAACTTCAATTTAACAAAAATGATGACTCTCCAAATACTGAAAAAAATGTGACATACAGCTCTTTAAATAAAACTCACTAAAAAATTATATGCATGCTGTACACAGCCTACAAATGAAATTCTGATTAAACCTATGTCAACTGAATTTTTCTTTAAGAGTAATACAGCACCTTCAGCCTTCATTACTTTCTATTGTTTAAGTAAAATTCTAGTACAGCGAATATAAGGCCATCTTCCAGGTCTGAGTAATAGCATTTCTCCTTGGTTCTAAATTTATGAACATAAAATGGTTTACTCGACAATGATTATGACAAGTTCTAGAATTTATTATTTTTAAACTACCTCCATTCTTTTTCTCCTTGCCTAATAGTTTATGAAAAACTGTTCAGTTTAAAAGTTGTCCACATCATTTCTACTCACTTGATAGATGCTTACCTTTTCCTTATTTAGGAACTTACTAGGTCAGGAATATCACCAAAAGTTTGATATATACAGATAGTTTAATTGATATGAAGCATGCATATTTCACATAATTAGCATGTCTAATTTTACAAAGCATTCCATTTCAAAATCCAAATCTCACCTTATAATGAATAGCCAACTGAATGTCAATATCCTCCTCCATTAACATGATTAACTGTGATTATAATTGTTCAATGTAAAAATCTAGAAAGGGAAAGTATTTTTTTATAACTTACCAAACATGCTAATACCAATTGTGTAAAATAGTCTCTCTTGCTTTTTTCTTCTAAACAATTTGTCTCAATATCTATAATGATGGAAAAAAAAACATGAAAGTTTGATTTTTCTAGACTGTCTCCAGCACTATAATAAGATACTTATTTTCTTTAAAACTAGCTAATTTTAAAATGCCTCATTCTGAAATTGGAAACAAATTTGCAACTATAGTAAGCAGGAGCTGTCCTTCATATGCATATGAATGCTCAGAATTAATTTCTCCTGATACTGGAGACTGACCCTGTGACCAATGGCATATCCATAAAATGGTAAGTTGATTACACAGGAGTTACATGCTATGGCACTGGAAGCAACAAAATTTCAAAAAAATAATGTTTTCAAAAATGGAAATATTCAAGCAAAGTTTAAATGACAACACATCAGAGATGCTGAAGAAGAGATTCCTTCCTTAGGTGTAAAGTTGAACTAGGTGACAACAAAGATCTCTTCTAACACTAAAGATCTTATTACTTGTGAGGATTAAACCTTTGACCTTGGCCACCTTGGCACCATGTTCTAACCAAACTACCTGGCCATCAACTCTACGAAAAGACAGTATTAAAAGAGTATTTTTTAACACCCCGTTTTGAATTACTCTAGTCAGCAAACAAAAATTATTCATGATTTTTATTTTCTTCCTATTGAAATATTAAGAAACTGAGACCTCCGAGTTTCAGTAGATTATTCAGAAAATTTGTCAGTTTTATGAAGTATGGAGGAAATAAAACAATTAGCTCTTAATGCCAAGCATCAAAAAATTCAACCAGGATTGGGCGCCTGGGTGGCTCAGATGGTTAAGCGTCTGCCTTCGGCTCAGGTCATGATCCCGGGGTCCTGGGATCGAGTCCCGCATCGGGCTCCCTGCTAGGCGGGGAGCCTGCTTCTCCCTCTGCCTCTCTCTCTCTCTCTGTCTCTTATGAATTAAAAAAAAAAAAAATTTTTAAAAAAAAAAGACTTAAAAAAATTCAACCAGGATTGACAGGATTACAAAGTTGATCTCAGGATTATTGCTTTAATGATTACATACTATTATATTAAGGTCAACTCGTAATTTATAAGAGACACCGATTTTAGTGATATAATAAAATTGTCTCCTAAGGGTTCTACAGTTCTCCCCAGATGTCCTACCACTGATTTGCTTCAGTTTACTTTCTATTGCCGTAACTGAGAATCAAAAGAGAAAAGAATTTATCATCAAACATTTCCACATTTTCCTGGCCCTTCTCCTCTTTCCCGTCTTGGACAGTGCCATTTCCCAATATCCTGGCCACTGTAGCTAAGCACATGGTCAGCTCAAGCATATTAAGAGAATTTGAGGGTATAATTTATACAACATAAACTGCAATACAATCTCATTCTCTTAATTAGACTTTTAATCCATGTGTATCTCATCAATCCCTTCCAGGGATTCCTAGTTGTCTCCCTGTTATCTGGTTTTCTGGTCCCTCCTCAGGCTAGAACTTCAAGGATACTGATCTTCAGGGGTCAGGACTAAACTGGGCCCATTCTTGGGACGCCTGGGTGGCTCAGTCGGTTGAGCGTCTGCCTTCGGCTCAGGTCATGATCCCAGGGTCCTGGGATCAAGTCCCACATCGGGCTCCCTGCTCCGTGGGGAGCCTGCTTCTCCCTCTGCCTCTGTCTCTCTCTCTGTCTCTCATGAATAAATAAATAAAATATTTAAAAAAATAAAAAAATAAAAGAAATAAACTGTGCCCATTTTTTTAACCAACATCTATCTACCAAGGCCCAAAAGTCCCTAAGATCTACCCCCAAAGTCCCTAAGATCAGAGCACCTGGATAGCAGGTTCATCCTCTTCAAGCCAAGTCTCCTCTCCTCTTAGCCATTTGACCTGTTCAAGGTACCACTCTCTGGGTTCTGACCATGTTAAGAAATGCTTAGTAAGACCTCAGTAAACTTCTTTGCTGAGCTATCTCAACAATCAATACACAACTCTCTTAGCACAATTATGTCTTCCCTGTTTCTTTCTTCTTTTTGTCCTAATTAATGAAGCTATTCTAATAAATTCATTCATTATCCCTGACTCATAAACCCTGAAATCAGTACCTAGTAAATTCTCTTTAATTTCCCCTATGATTTTACTAAAAAGCCCTCAACCATTCCCAACTCTAGGTCCCAGTATCACCAACCACCCACTCCAGCTCAGAGGTCCCATCAGTGCATCAAGTTACATCAGACTTCCCTCTCCAGGTTAATATAGCTCTCAGGCCCCCTCATTCTTACATAATTAGTCTTTTAAAGAAAACTGTTATCTTAACCAGGAAAGTACAGTAATGATTTTTCTTATAGCTCTTAAAATATTAGAAAGACAACATGGTATAGTAAAAAAAATTATGGGCTCTGGAACCAAAAAGACCCAGGTTCAAACCCTGTTTTACTGGCTATGTGGCCTTGAAAAATCCCTTCTCGGAGCTTCAATTTTCTGATATGTACACCTACTTTACAGAAGTTGCTGTAAAGATTAAAAGGAAATTAAATGCATAACACAATGCTTAGAACATAGAAGGTGCTCCAAAAATAGCATCTACATTATTATTGCCATTATCATTATTAGAGGTAGCTCCCATTCTTACTCCTATTCCCTAGTTTGGTCTGGGGTCATCTTTCGATCATTTTTTTTTTTTCCTGCTAACAGTGAGGGTGGGTGAGTGAGGGGGGACAGGTAAGGGAAATTCTCTTTCCAAGTTTGCCATTCTAATCTTGCTTGTAAAAATTGACTGGATAGGCTAAAAGAAATTTCCCAAGAGCAACCAAACATCCTCATAAATTTATGTTAATAGTAAAAAACAATGACTTATAATTCCTATTACTAAAGTAAATATGAAGGGAAAATATATCCTAATAGAATAAATCAATAAAGAAATTATTGGAACTTACTAGTAAGCTGATAGCTGATGATTACCCCCAAAAAAGACATAAAATATACTCCTGACACTATCAAGGAACAACAGCTTCCACAAAATGTTACCTACAAATCACTCTTTCAATCCTACAAATTTATAGTAAAAACAATTTTTTAAAATTTTTTAAACTGTTTCAAGGTATATTTATATGTAACATACATAATGTAATACCTTTAGTGCCTGCTTTAAAAAATTAAGCTTAAAAGGTTTTGTTGTTCTTGCTGGCATAAATCCATTCAATAGATAGTATGAACTTATACTTAATGATCCAAACCAGGACAGTTTTAAAATCGAAATAAGGCACTATTAATTATGCCAGGGGGAAAAAAACAAAAGTGGGACATATGATCAGCCCATCAGTGGTCTACTCTTTTATCACTCACAGTCCACACACATTTTGACCTATTCCTGACATTACTGCTGTTATGAATCTTAAACATCCTGAAGGATCAAGCACCAGGCATTCAGATTTGATGAGATCAAATTCCCAGATTCTCAGTAAGACATTTAAGTAACCTATCTATTCTAGAAATTAAGATTAATGAGCTAAATTAATTCACTCCAGCTTGACAAACTCTCAGAGGATGTCTTATTTTATTTTAAAGTGAATATTAAAATGTCTGGTAAAGGTTTCTATTAGATCAAAGTTTTAGAAAGCATAACATTGATGGGGAAAACTGCTCAAAGTTATTTTAATTCAAATCTAAAATTAAAAGAAATAAATTTATAATATACATTATTTTTTAAATCCATGCTTCCCATGGAAGGACACTACCTTTTGTTCTAAGTCAAAGAAATATTCCTTTTTTATCTTGCATAAATTCTTATTTATTCTGGACAAATAGAGAAGTTGCTACTTCCAAAGCTGGTTTCTCATCCTCAAAAGAAAAGTACTTTTGATTACTTTGGCTCTTCTTGCTCTTTCTAAAATTAAGAAGAATCAAAAGAGTATAACAGCAAAGTAACTATCTCTTGAGTGTCCTAAGTTTGAGATTCTGACATTCATTGATAAACTCCATTGAGTAAAATTAATTATGTGGTTACTAAAATCTGAATAATTCAGACTAACTGAACTTCAAAAAACTTAGCTTTTTTCTACTTGAAAGGACTTAATTTAGCTCAATTTTATATAAACATACATTCTGCAAAACTCAGACTATTTAAATTATAAACTATATCTAAAGCTAGTTTATAAACAGTGATCATACTCACATTTGATTTACAACACTATATTCTCTATAAAGAAACGATACAGTCTAGTTCCTACAAATAGTTTAAAGAAAACATTTTTTTAAACACAGTACATTAATCTACCCTACAGCACTTTTTACAGGTGAAATAAAGGATTGATACCTACCTAATATGCAGAATACATCAGCAAGAATGGAGGGCATATCCTCACGAAATTCCTAATTATAAAAATATAATTATTCATAGTAAATACAAGAACAGCACACTAGCAAGTATGGTTTCAGAATAATACTCTTCAGTAAAACCTAAAACCTAACAAAACCCCAACACCACTACGTTGACAAATAATAAAATTCAAGTTTCATAATACAGAGAAAACAGAAAAGAGACAACAGTTGGAAAAAAAAATGTTTAAATGTCTACCATGAAATAACTTGATAAAACACTTGATAAAAAAAAAACCTAACAAGCGGGGCGCCTGGGTGGCTCAGTCATTAAGCGTCTGCCTTCAGCTCAGGCCATGGTCCCGGGGTCCTGGGATCGAGCCCAGCATGGGGCTCCCTGCTCAGCGGGAAGCCTGCTTCTCCCTCTCTCACTCTCCCTGCTTGTGTTTCCTCTCTCTGTGTTCCCTCTCTCGCTGTCTCTCTGTCAAATAAATCTTTAAAAAAAAAAACCTAACAAGCACCTCAGGAAATATTAAAGAGCACAAATGAATGACACTTTTCCAATGAAGTTTCATGTTAGAAACCACTGGAATTTGGGTACCTTAAACCTGTTAAAAATGGTACATTTTTCATCTACAACTTTAAATGTGCTCATGCCTCAATCAACACTGATTTATGCAAAAGTCCTAGTGGTATCGGAACAGAAATCTAAAAAATACAAAAACAATTACAAGCTGTCATTCCATAACTCAAGATTCTCTGAAGATGAAAACAATTACCAAAAATCCATCTTTATTTTCTTTATGCACTGATGTTTGTAGCCTTTGTAAGCCAAAATTCTCCCCATTTCTGGATGAAAACTTCAACACGTATTCTAGATTTGTCTCCTGACTTCCCACTCCCATGCCCAATTTTAGAGACATTTTCCATTAGTAAGGATCATAGTTCAATCACTGCAATTAGTTTGCTGGCACTATAGCAACCCTTAAACTAGCCTATTTTCAGAGAGTAAAGGAAAGAAATATAATCCTAACAAGAACAACAACAAAAAAAGACTGGCACTGTAAGAGACATGCAAGATATGCTTCCATGGCTAAGATATGGGACAGTGAGATATGGGGCTATGAGAAAGCCATGACAATGACAATCCAGGTGCAAAGGTATATATAAAGACTCAAAGGAAAGGGGAAGCTAAGTAAAAACAAAATACATATTAAATCCATTTGGACTATTCACTTTCAAAAAATGGGAAAAATATTAGAATCGAATCCATAAACAGACTACACCAATGGCCAATTTACAGAATGAAAGAAACTTAATTGCACACCAGACTTCAGTCTCAAAAGTTTCTTAAGGGCTATGAATTTTTGCTATGTCTACTTGAATGCAAGTACTCAGGCTACTTGAAGAAAAGAGCAAAACAAGAGTTTTCAACATGGAATATTAGTTGTTGGAAAAAAAAAAAAAGACTACTCCAACATGAATTAATACTGCTGTGGTCAGATAGAGACAGTTTAAGGATAAAAGAGAAATTCATATTGAACCTTGACTGCTCAAATACGTTTCAATATGTAAGGGGAAAAAAATCACAACAGCTAAACATAGAAATTCCTTACGACTTATCCTCAGAAAAGCACAGAAAGCATATGAAGGAGATTACCTATCCTAACAGAAAAAGGCTACAGAAGCTTAAAGCAGCACAAGGGAAATTCGTACTGGTATCAAGAAGCTCCAGGTCCTACATGTCAATAATACTCATTATGAAAGCTGTTCTCAACTGGATGGATAATTTTATCTATACAAGGTTAAAATCCAGCCTAATAATAATAGAATAATACACCACTTAACTACTTAAGTTAAGAAACTTAACTACTGGTTTACAAACAACACCCTTACAATTTGAGAGCTCATCTTACAATTCAAATACCAAACACCTATGAAAAGTATCTGGTCTGAATCTAACTTAAATTGTCTAATAAAAAAGAGACAGAAAAATCACCTAAAGGTTAGGGGAAAAAATCTAGTTATTAATATTTTCTAACACAGCAAACACATGAAAACTGGCATCAAGTGAGCATTAGTTACAACTATGCAACCTCAATTTAATTTAAAATAACTTAATCCTCAAATTTTAAAGTATATTTAATTTCTAAACATAACTGCAAACAAAAGAAAATGTTTTGATATGCTCCACTGTGAGAAAAATATTCTAGTCAAATTATTTTTACAGTAGCATTTTTAATTAAGTGTATCGTGATTTTGTTCCAAGGCAGGCTTTTTTTTTTTCTTTGCCCTCTCAGCTTACCTAACATTTTCTGCTTTATTCACAACCAAAGATTAAAATTTCAACCTAGCAACAACGGCTTATCAATATTGCCTTAAAACATCCACTACTATAATTCTGAACAAAATGAAATGCAAGTTATATACTTTAGGGATCTTTGTATCAAAGGCAAAAAGAAATATGTAGTTATTAAATTAAAAAACGTGTGTGTGTGTGTATACTTACGCTAATGTCATTAAGAACATTAGATGCCTGTTCATGCTTTAGATTTCCTTTAATGACATGGTATGATAACTCATAAAGAGCCTGCTGGAAATCTGTTGAACATAAAAGAAAGAGTGTAAGAACACAATCTCTTGAACATAAAAGGTAGACCCTTCTGAGGGAAGACCTCTGTATTTCCTACTTCTCAGAATTATAAGGATCAAAAATAAGAAAAATATACTTCTAATGCTTTTCTCTGACAGATTTTTTTCCCTTTTACTTTCACAAAAACACAACACTAAAAGTAGAAAATAGTTAACCTTGACTCCACTACTATAACATAACTACTGCTTAAACATTTCCTTCCAATCTTTTTCTACGTATCTACATGTTTTACATATTTGCATTCACAGTGTACATCATTTGGTATTCGGATTCCCCCACAAACACTTTTTAAAGTATTTTCTTATGCTACCAAAGTCTCCCAAATTATTTTCAGTGATTGCATGGAATTCCAGCAGGTGGATATAAACTAATTTAACCATTTCTCTCACCAGGATATTTCACAGCTTTGTCTACATATATTGGGATCATAGCCAATTCACTCGCAGGGCTACACTGACAACAGGTAAAGACTACCAGTCAATATAAAATCAAGTTGTATCCGTATCCTACTCTCGGAGAATGTCTCCCCAAATCTAGATCTTTTCGCCTATCAGAATTCAAACTAAAATAATTACATACATACATATGTAAAATGGCAGTTCTATGAGAACTGTCAACCACAGATAGTCTCATTCACTATTACCATAGCTTCCTTCCCTGGAGAAGGAATTCGGCCCGGGGAGGGGGGAGCTAATGGTCACATGACTACCTCCTTCGGGCCATATTTTTCTTTAGTCCTATACACTGAAAACTTTACCTCCTTCCTCTCATTAAAAGTAGAAAAACAACTGTATGGTGACAGATGGTACCTATGCTTGTGGTGAGCACAGCATAATGTACAGTTATAGATTTGTTGAATTACTATGTTGTACACCTGAAACTAATTTATTATGTGCCCCCTATACTTCAATAATAAAAAAAAAAAGTAGAAAAACAAGTAGCTCTAAAAACAGCTGTAAAATAAAGTAAATTTTCTTTCTGAAGGGAATCAAAAATCTTTCAGGGCAAAATAGCAAGTAAAACATCAAATATTTAAAAATCTTGTCCCTTAGTTTGACTACTCATCACAAAAAAGGGATAGCATATAAATCAAAACATACCAATATCCCTTTAAACAACCTTATTTACAATTTTATTAATTTACAATTATTTTACAATGAAATAAATTTGTCCATTAAATTATTTGCTAAAGAAATATAGCCAGAGGGAGCCCGGGTGGCTCAGTCAGTTAAGCGTCTGCCTTCAGCTCAGGTCATGATCCCGGGGCCCTGGGATTGAGCCCCACATCGGGCTCCCTGCCCAGTAGGGAGTCTGCTTCTCCCTCTCCCTCCCCCAACTTGTGCTCCCTCTCTCACTCTCTCTCTCAAATAAATCTTTAAAATTAAAAAATTAAAAAAAAAAAAATACAGCCAGAGTATCCCAATTTCTAATGAAGAATTCATTATTAAACATATTCTATACCTTTTTCATAAATATGCCTTCATTATGCTTATAATAAACTATATAAAAGCTAAAATGCAAAGGAAAAAATTTCTATTTGTTAGTATGGTAGAAATATGAGGTCAATTTCATGCTTTCAATTTCCATTAATAAAATGCTTTTACAACAAATAACACTCATTTTTAAAGTTATCCAGGGATACCTGGCTGGCTCAGTCAGTGGAGCATACAACTCTTGATCTCGGGGTTGTAGGTCCGAGCCCATCTTAGGTGTAGAGATTACTTAAAAATAAAATATTTAAAAAAATTAAAAACTAGGAATGCCTGGGTGGCTCAGTTGGTTAAGCATCCGATTTGATTTCGGCTCAGGTCATGATCTCAGGCTCATGGACTTGAGCCCCGCATCACATTGGGCTCCACACTCAGTGGGGAGTCTGCTTCTCTCCCTTGCTCTGCCCCCCCTCTCAAGTGTGTGCTACCTCTAAAATAAATAAATAAAATTAAAGTTATCCAGATAACTTAGGGAAAAAAAAAAAAGTAATCATTCTTGGAAGGACAAAACAGCTGAACAACATAAAATTCCCAGAAGAATATGGGCTCGGGCACCTGGGTGGCTCAGTTGGTTAAGCAACTGCGTTTGGCTCAGGTCATGATCCTGGAGTCCCGGGATCGAGTCCCGCATCGGGCTCCCTGCTCGGCGAGGAGCCTGCTTCTCCCTCTGACCCTCCTCCCCTCATGTACTCTCTCTCATTCTCGCTCTCTCAAATGAATAAATAAATCTTTAAAAAAAAAAAAAAAAGGAATATGGGCTCATAGGAGCTGAGGAAATTCTAATCTTAATCAGAGAAGGAGATTAAAACAGAGAACAAATAGCCCAGGTCATTTTGCTAACACTAAGTGACATGAAAACAATCACAATGTTATCCACAAAAGAGCAAAGGCAGTCCCCAATTCACATGTTTTTAAATGCCCATTTAAGTGGTTAGGAACATCTACTGTATTTTAGCCATAGAAACAGTAAGTGGTACTTTAAGACTACCAAGGCTAACCCCACAAAATTCTGTAAAATCTATACTAAAGTTGAAAAACATTACATTTACAACATGGAAAAAAACTTAGCAAACCTTATAATTATACACAAAAATAAATAAAAGATTTTATCTTAATGCTAACATTTCAGAAAAAGTAGGGGTTTTCCCTTGTTTATTTTTAGTATTCTCTACACCCAATGTGGGGCTCAAACTCATGACCTGGAAATCAAGAGTTGCATGTTCTTCCAACTAAGCCAGCCAGGCGCCCCTCAGAAAAAGTAGTTTTAAGGGCAGCCACAAGTAAAAGGGACTTCTAGAGATTCTTAGACATTCTTTGTGGGATTTGAACACTGAAGACACTAGTTCTTGGTTATGTCAGGACTACTCCTGTTTATCAGCCATCATTACAATATCATTTTATTGGGGGGAAGGGACTTATAAAAAGGAGTAGTGTGAGCAAAGGAAACTGGGAAGGGAGGGGCAGAAAGGGAAAGGGCTCAGGGAACACTACCCAAACTCAATCCCCCTAAGACAGAACGAAGGAAATTCTGAAGAAATGACATTTCAGTTAGCTTTCTGCATGGACTACCAACTGGAGCCCTTAGACCAAAGCTTGACTGTTGGCAGATACCAGCCAAAGAACGTATGTATTGAGGAAGCAGGCAAAGGCAGGTGAAAGAGAGCAATGGCAATTATGTCAATGAGGCCACGCTCATAACTATTTTTGGTTTCATACATGAATCAGAACAACCATGCAAATTAACAATAATCCGGTAGTTATTAAAGATCCATATAGTCCCATTTAAAACTGAAGAGTAATCATCCTGTGTTACACTATTTAGTTTTCTGAAAATTCTTTCTCTTATTTTACCCACATAAGATTTCAATCACAGACAAGATCAAAGTTAACTGAGAAGTTATAAACTTCTTTTAAACATAGGGAAGAAAAAAAGTTAAGTATCCAAGTGCTTTTAGGAAGGAGTCTTTCTTTACTTTCTTACAATTCTGGCAGTCAACTGACTTATTCAAAAGAAAAGGCATTATAACAACCTCAGAAATCTTTATGAAAGATCATGCAACTTTATAAGTAGGATAAATTGGAAAATAAGTGGGGGTGCAGGCTAGGAATGTTAAGTCTTAAAACAGGTCTTACCCAAATGACAAAAAAAAAAAAAAAAAAAAGAGGCTCATTTGTTAAAAAAATGCTTCCACTCAAAAATTCAAATGTTCTTTAAAAATCTTAATCATATTAATATTTATTTTTTTATAAAACAAAAGTAAATCTATAGAAAAACATTGTTTTTAATCTTCTATTCACAAAGGCATAATTTAAATAACTATAATGAATTTTTATTTAATCATTTTTTATTTAAAATAGATTAGTGGTTATAAATTATTTTTTCTAAATTGAAAAAACTGTTATGGGTTCTACCCTCAGCGAAAGCTACATATGAAAATGCTTTAACCTGGGCGCCTGGGTGGCTCAGTTGGTTAAGCGACTGCCTTCGGCTCAGGTCATGATCCTGGAGTCCCTGGATCGAGTCCCGCATCGGGCTCCCTGCTCGGCAGGGAGCCTGCTTCTCCCTCTGACCCTCCCCCCTCTCATGTGCTCTCTGTCTCTCTCATTCTCTCTGTCTCAAATAAAATAAATAAAATCTTTAAAAAAAAAAAAAAAGAAAATGCTTTAACCTTACTAGATGTAATTGCTTTTGTTTTTGCCCCTCCTTTTCTAAATCCAAATGCCTAATTTTAAATTAATAAATGCTAAATAGTAAAAGCCTTTAAAATTAAAATTTACATCCTGTTTAATTACATCTTACTTAATAAATCATACTTGTGATATGCAGTAAACAACTCCTTTGCTTTTAATGTTTTCCATGACAATTGCCTTTAATAAGATCCCCAGATACTACCTAAACATAACCAGCTTTAGTAAAAACACCACCTCAGTTTCTGGATATTTCCTAGTGCAAACAAAATCTGAATAGTTTTTCCGTACTAGCTTTTCTCTTCTGTTTATGACTGATAGCTAGCCTGTATAATTTTTAATACAGCTAGCAACTGCTGATATTTGGCCAAATATACCATGTCACAACGATAAAAGCCAAGCAATATATGACTCTTATGTAGATCAAACATCTATATACAGAAATAGTCTTACTGTAACTACAGTTTTAATCCTAACGGTAATATACTCATATAAAGGCTTTATATAATGTGAACTATCTCACAGCTTTTGTTTTTCATTCATAACAATTTAATGTAAAACAGAACATCTATTAATTTTGACCAAGCCAAAAATAATAGCTATGATACTTTTAAAAGTCTTACCTCTGTAAGTTGAACTATCATGGCTTTTATTTTCACTGAGGATCCGGCATAAATGCAAACTAGAATAAAATAGAAATAATCTGCATTCATTTCCAATCCTAATATAGATGACCCTTAGACAGCAAATTACATCAACTAAAAATATTTGGAAACATATCAGATGTGTTTAAATCCATTAATTTATAATGAGAATAAAACAAACCTAAAAACCCTAATTGGTCAGAATTGGAGCATGCTAGTAAATCAATTCATTATTTTTGAAAACTGGAAATGAATAAAAAACACTTAATCTGCCTTTCACACATGAGCCAATAATTGTTAAGAAAGGTCTCTGTACTGATGAATATGGACTCCAAAATCCTCAACAAAATCCTAGCTAATAGGATCCAACAATACATTAAAAGGATCATCCATCACGACCAAGTGGGATTTATCCCCAGGATGCAAGGGTGGTTCAACATCCGCAAATCAATCAATGTGAGAGAACACATTAATAAGAGGAGGGAGAAGAACCATATGGTCCTCTCAATTGATGCAGAAAAAGCATTTGACAAAATACAACATCCTTTCCTGATTAAAACTCTTCAGAGTATAGGGATAGAGGAACATTCCTCAAGCTCATAAAATCCATCTATGAAAAACCCACAACGAGTATCATCCTCAATGGGGAAAAGCTGAGAGCCTTTCCCTTAAGATCAGGAACACATCAAGGATGCCCACTCTCACCACTGTTGTTCAATATAGTACTAGAAGTCCTAGCAACAGCAATCAGACAACAAAAAGAAATAAAAGGTATTCAAATTGGCAAAGAAGAAGTCAAACTCTCTCTTTTCGCAGATGACATGATACTTTATGTGGAAAACCCAAAAGACTCCACCCCCAAATTACTAGAACTCATCCAACAATTCAGTAATGTGGCAGGATACAAAATCAATGCACAGAAATCAGTTGCTTTCTTATACACTAACAACGCAACTGTAGAAAGAGAAATTAAAGAAACGATTCCATTTACAATAGCACCAAAAACCGTAAGATACCTCAGAATAAACCTAACCAAAGAGGTAAAGGATCTATACTCTAGGAACTACAAAACACTCATGAAAGAAATTGAAGAAGACACAAAAAGATGGAAAAATATTCCATGCTCATGGATCAGAAGAATAAACATTGTTAAAATGTCTATGCTACCCAGAGCAATCTATACCTTCAATGCTATCCTGATCAAAATTCCAATGACATTTTTCAAAGTGCTGGAACAAACAATCCTAAAATTTGTATGGAATCAGAAAAGACCCCGAATCGCCAAGGAGATGTTGAAAAAGAAAAACAAAGCTGGGGGCATCACGTTGCCCGATTTCAAGCTATATTACAACAAATCAGTGATCACCAAGACAGCATGGTACTGGCACAAAAACAGACATACAGACCAATGGAACAGAATAGAGAACCCAGATATGGACCCTCAACTCTATGGTCAAATAATCTTCCACAAAGCAGGAAAAAACATGCAATGGAAAAAAGACAGTCTCTTCAATAAATGGTGCTGGGAAAATTGGACAGCCACATGCAGAAGAATGAAACTCGACCATTCTCTAACACCACTCACAAAGATAAACTCAAAGTGGATGAAAGACCTCAATGTGAGACAGGAATCCATCAAAATCCTAGAGGAGAACATAGGTAGTAACCTCTTTGACATCGCCCACAGCAACTTCTTTCAAGATACATCTCCAAAAGCTAGTGAAACAAAAGCAAAAATGAACTTTTGGGACTTCATCAAGATAAAAAGCTTCTGCACAGCAAAGGAAACAGTCAACAAAACAAAGAGGCAACCCACAGAATGGGAGAAGATATTTGCAAATGACACTACAGATAAAGGGCTGGTATCCAAAATCTATAAAGAACTTCTCAAACTCAACACCCAAAAAACAAATAATCAAGTCAAAAAGTGGGCAGAAGAGATGAACAGACACTTCTCTGAAGAAGACATACAAATGGCTAACAGACACATGAAAAAATGTTCATCATCATTAGCCATCAGGGAAATCCAAATCAAAACCACATTGAGATACCACTTTACACCAGTTAGAATGGCAAAAATGGACAGGGAAAGAAACAACAAATGTTGCAGAGGTTGTGGAGAAAGGGGAACCCTCTTACACTGTTGGTGGGAATGCAAGTTGGTACAGCCACTTTGGAAAACAGTGTGGAGGTTCCTCAAAAATTTAAAAATAGAGCTACCCTATGACCCAGCAATTGTACTACTGGGTATTTACCCCAAAGACACAGATGTAGTGAAAAGAAGGGCCATATGCACCCCAATGTTCATAGCAGCAATGTCCGCAATAGCCAAACTGTGGAAAGAGCCGAGATGCCCTTCAACAGATGAATGGATAAAGAAGATGTGGTCCATATATACAATGGAATATTACTCAGCCATCAGAAAGGATGAATACCCAACTTTTACATCAACATGGATGGAACTGGAGGAGATTATGCTAAGTGAAATAAGTCAAGCAGAGAAAGTCAATTATCATATGGTTTCACTTATTTGTGGAACATAAGGAATAACATGGAGGACATTAGGAGAAGGAAGGGAAAAATGGGGGGGGGGAATTGGAGGGAGAGATGAACCATGAGAGACTATGGACCTGAGAAACAAACAGGGTTCTAGAGGGGAGGGGAGAGGGGGGATTGGTTAGCCCGGTGATGGGTATTAAGGAGGGCACATACTGCATGGAGCACTGGATGTTATACGAAAACAATGGATCATGGATCACTACATCAAAAACTAATGATGTATTGTATGGTGACTAACATAATATAATAAAATTTAAAACTACAAAAAAAAAGAAATGTCTCTGTACTGAAGTATTTCAGCTAATAAAGAAAGGAATGACAGAAGAACACCATTTAAAGATCCCTAATAAATTAAAGGATCTAAACATCTATCAATAACTGTTTACATCACAAGAGACAATCAAACATTTTGTGTGTCCTAATCCTGATGAAAGAATACACCACCCACCTATGAAGTTGTCTTTAAGAAAAAAAAAAAAGCCATGAACCTAAATTCGAACTGTGGGAAACTGTACAGACAATGACCCAGTCTCTTCAACAAATACACTGCAAGAAAAAATTAAAGATGCCGGGAATCCTCAGGTTAAAAAAGGCTTGAGAGATACATCAATCACAGTGTTTGGATCCTGTTTCAAACAAGTATTTTTTTTTTCAAGTATTTTTAAAATTAATATTTCTGAGTCAACTAGAGTATTTTATAAAGATCTTATAAACTTTGGGGGCGCCTGGGTGGTGCAGTCAGTTAAAGCATCTGACTCTTGGTTTCGGCTCAGGTCTGACCTAAGGGTCATGAGATCAAGTCCCACGTGGGCTCTGTGCTCGTCAGGGAGTCTGCTTGAGTTTCTCCCTCTCACTCTGCCCCTCCCCCCAGCTCGCTCTCTCTCATGCTCTCTCAAATAAATCTTCAAAAAAATCATTTTATAGGGGCGCCTGGGTGGTTCAGTTGGTTAAGCAACTGCCTTCGGCTCAGGTCATGATCCTGGAGTCCCAGGATCGAGTCCCGCATCGGGCTCTCTGCTTAGCGGGGAGTCTGCTTCTCCCTCTGACCCTCCCCACTCTCACGTGCTCTCTCTCTCTCTCATTCTCTTCTCAAGTAAATAAATAAAAAAATCTTAAAAAAAAATCATTTTATAAATTTTATAAAAATGTATCTTTAAAAGATAATACTGAAATATTCACGGATAAAATGAGAATGGGAAAATGGGTGTGGGGTATTAGGTGAAAGAAGATTGGCCAGCAGTTGAGAACTAGCAAAGCTGACTGATGGATGATTTCATTAGTATTCTGAATACCTTCTCATCTGTTTGAGATTTTTTTCCAATAATAAAGTTTAAAAACAAAAAAACTGAAAGTTGAAAAAAAAACTTATATTTTAAATACCTCTTCATTAGATTAATTTAAATACTGTAAAGAAGGATAGATATACACAAAACAGTGAAAAGAGGTATGCTTAACTGGAATTCCAGAGAGAAGAGAGAACAGGGACAAAAACAATTTTTGAAGAAATAATAGCCAAGAATTCAGTTTTCTAGAACTGAAGTAAAATCCACAACTGGACACATCATAATAAAGCTAGAGAAAACCAAAGATAAAATCAGTTAAGCACCTGAGGGAAAAAAGACAGTATCTTCAGGACTTCTCAACCAGAACACTGAATGCAAAAGACAGCTGAAAGATACACCCAAAGTGCTACAACAAAGTATTTGCCCACCCAAAAAACAGTTCCAAGTTCCAAGAAAAGGCAAAATAAGGACTGAAGTTCAGACAAATAACTGATTCACACACTAAAATAAACACTTAAGGACATTTTTTAGGCAGAATAAAAGTTATTCCAGAGAGAACTTTGGAGTTGAAGCAAGAAATGAGGAAAAAGTGGCAAGTATATGGGTAATTCTAAAAGAATATCAACTGATAACAATAATATGCCTTGTGGTATTTAAACATGTGCAGTATTAAATATATAAATAAATGGAAATATTGAAATACATCAAGACTTATGTGGGTTTATCCCAAATACACAAAGTTGGTTCAGATTAATTCACCACATTAAACTGACTTTTAAAAATCACACGACTTCAACAGATGCATAAAAGACATTTGACAAAATTCAACATCCATTCACTACTTTTTTAAAAAAGACTTAAAATAGGAACAGAAAGGAACCGTTATAATTTGGTAAAGTAGCAGTTCTGACAATGTGGTTCATGAACCTCTGATCCCCAAGACACGTTCTAGAGTTCTGCAAGGTCAAAACCATATTCATAATAATACTAAGACTTCATTTCCCTTTTTTGCAGTATTAACATTTACACTAACAGTTCATTTCTTTTTTTTTCTTAGAGGGGGAAGGGGCAGAGGGAGGAGAGAGAATTCTCAGCAGGCTCCACACCCAGCTTGAAGCCCTACATGGGGCTCGATCTCACAACCCTGAGAGATCATGACCTGAGCCGAAATCGAGAGTCCAACGCTTAACCAGCTG